ACTTAGGGTTCGACCGACTAATGGTACAACTACTTATACAAGTACCGACTGCGCACGGACCATCGTGTCTATGTGGTCGTGTTAGTGAAGGAAGAAACGTAGTGGTACGATACCAGGCACGAAGTGCGCACGGACCCCATTATGTAAGCTACATAATGTTCAACCTGCGGGTGAGCGCTTAAGACAGGCGCCAGTATGGGCGCTAGTAGTACAAGAGATAGAACGGAAAGACAAATGTTTCACCCCCGGTTCGTCGAGCCCGCTCTCGTTTCCACCTTCCGACGTCTGTTGCCCGACTACTCCCGACACACGCCCACTCACACTCAATGTCAATCTCGTGTGGTGTTGTTTTCCAGCACGAGCGCACGTTGCCATCATCCAGCGCATACACATCAGCAAGGTGACGACATTTCTCTCCTCGTGCATCAACTCGACAACCGAGCAGACATCTCGCCGCCCAGCAGAGCCTGCTGAGGACTCTGCCGGTTTGCTGCCTCGCGTCGACGTCCCATCCGGACACCACACACATGCACCAAGATGGCAGGCTCCTGTTGTCAGTCGTCAGATGCGGGCACGTCAGCAGATATGGACTGGTGCATGTCGGTTCTCTTGCCAAGACCGAGATCTTCAGAATGCACCAGAATGCACATGTCCGGGCAGCAGCGGCCTGATAGACCGGACGGACCACGACACCTGTTATGATGGCGTCACTTCTAGTCAACACCGCATTGGGCAGTCACAGAGTGCCCGGCCGACTCACCTGATTCTGCACGTCCTGGCCCTCCCCGCAGTCTGCCCGGCAAGCCTTGCGCACGCAAACATGGTAAGGAGCTCACCGCCGTGCACTGGGCAACTAGGCGGTGCACTCGCAGCACAGGATGTGTTCCGTAGAGATCTAATGACAACGCAATATATTTCTTGATGTGGTCAGTTCACTGCTTGTGCGGTGTCGTTGTGCCTGCCGCCACATACAGTCGCACATTTTGCCCGCAAACTGTACTACCATCAGTTGTTCGGCACGCTTTCTGAGTCAGGTGAGCTGTGATGGAGAAAGTCAGCTCGTGCACAAACTGCTTCTGACTGCTTTTGGGCATATTATAGCCCGGGCAGGGCTTGAGTGCGCTCGCGCGAGGAAGGTGCGATGGGCGGGAATACGAGCAAGGAGGCACCCTAGGACATTCAGACAAGAAACTGGTGTAGCGGGATCATAGAGATATGTACAATTGCCCTGTCGCTCGGGCAGGTAGGCCACCAGTTTGCAGAGCCGGAGAGCCGGAGAGCATTGCATAGAGAGTGGCGGAAGATGCGTGATTCCGAGAGGAGGCAGGGCTAGCGCGACGAGGGAACGGATAGCATTAGTGCCCGGGCGCTTACGACTGTCTATACAACTGTACGACTGTCTATACAACTGTACGACCGTCTGTACAACCGTCTATATGGCTCTGACAGTGGGCTCTCATCGTTTCCACCGGGCATGTGCACGTGGGTCTCCACTCGTTAGATCTGTGATGCTTGTGCCTGAGACGCGTTGATCTATCACAGGAAGACCGTCACCGCGACGGCTTCAACTGCCGACAAGCTAGATTGGCTCAAATCAATTCCCAGCGGCGCGACTCACGTCGTGAATTACAAGACGCAGAACTTTGCAGAGGAGGTCAAGAAAATCACCAATGGCAACGGCGTGGACGTCATCATTGACTTCGTTGGCCAAAGCCACTGGCAAAAGAACATCGATGCCCTTGCAAGGGATGGCAGGATGACAATGCTTGGACTGCTTAGTGGTCAGTCAATCGCCCTGACCTCAACTGAACGAGACGCCACATCAGATCATAACAGGTGGTAAAGTCGACTCGTTCGATCTGGGTCCACTCCTGTACAAGCGTCTCCGCATCGAGGGCTCCACGCTTCGTTCCCGCTCGCCTGAATATACTGCAGACTTGATCGAGAGGTGCGTATTGCTCTGCTCCATTGAGGCATAACCCGGTGCCAAGTGGCAACAGATTCCAGCGTGACGCTCTGGGCCACATCACGGGAGCTAACGGGGATGGCGCATTGCGGATCTACATCCACAAGGCACGTCCAATTCCTCGTGCCACTTTCTCCCAACATTAAGTGGCGCCGTGCCGCTCTGATTCTAGGTGTACCCCTGGAATGATATACAGGCAGCACACCGTGAGATGGAGGACAACAAGAACAGGTTAGTCCCACGGTTTGTTATCAGCGGGGGCACCGCGTTCAGGGGCTCTGGGCTGACTGAGGTGTCGCTGCAGTGGGAAGATCATCGCCGAGGTGGTGTAAGATAGGCTTGCACCCGCGACGGACATTGCAAGCATGCGTGGTTGACGGAATGTTAAGTTCGAGCATTGTCAATGTCTGACAGAATGTTGTGAGTGTAGTCGATGCTGGCAAGAGCCCGTGTTATGGAAGCCCACGCATGGGAGGCGAGGCCCGCTCCACAGCACATGACCTGTTCTGGTGTGTCGCAGCGAACACAATCCGGCAGATGGTGAGTGGCGAGGCGAAGGGAACTGCGTCTTGCACGCACCATTTTTCGGTATGTTCCACTGCTGCACTGCTGACCACTCGGACGTGTCCCGCCCGACTGCCCCACCAGTCCGCGCGCTAAGCCGTCAATTGCGGGGCCAATACTGGAAGCGGCCCAAGGTTCACGAAGCCCGCAATGGGCGCTTGCAGGCTATCCCTCGTCGTGACGCTGCCTGCGATGCATCACGCACGGAATGGAAGGCCCCCTTAGCCTGGTTGCCCTCGCAATCCGCTCCGACATGGCGCCGCCCCCTGACAGGTTGCAGGTTACGCGTATTGCCCGCTATTCGCGCGCCGCGCTGCGCACTGTCGGGGATCGACCCTTTGCGCAGGACAACGTCCGGGGATCTATCGGGATGTTCACGCCTTCGCGTCCGCGTATAGGCGCCATCGCGACTGTTCGGCCGCTCGCTATCCTGCTCGTGGGCTGCGAGATAGACTAGCCCGATGGTTCTTCCGACCCACCATCGGGCATTCGCCGTACACCGACGCGGGAGAAGCGTCGCGCTCGATGGCGTCGAGGTTCTGGGTCTTCTTGCGTCCACTCGAGCGCGGGGTGCTGCCACTGTGGGCGGCGGCGAGCCAAGGTTCACGTTCAGGATGTGTGAGTGGGTCCTCGGGGGGAGTGCAGCTGTCTTCTGTGCCAGCGGCGTTGCCCGTGTAGCCGCTCTGTCTTGGGTTTCTGACTGCCGATCTACGCGCGTCCATTGAAGACAGTGTCAGCGACACGCCCGAATCAAGCGATCCATTTACAAGCTAGCCAGCAGGGCTAAGCTCAAGGGGTAGGCGCTCTGTTGATTCCTCATAATCATCCATGGTGGTGGTAGTACAATTGGTGACCGGGGTCCCCACATTCTTCAGATCTGGCACTTCATACACCTTCAGAAGTACAAGTACTATATATACTGCAAAATCCATAACTTAAGCATGGATTATGTATACTTGAACAGTACTAGATGATTCACTGTATGGCATAATGCAAGTTATCTACCAGACTCCATAGTATACTGCAAGTCTTTTCTCGACCACTGTATATGTTTCTCTCGCAGCGAATCACGATGAGATCTGCCTTGTCTGATATCCCAGTCAGTGATGCTATCGAGGTCCACCATGAAGCTTTGAGAAATGGCCACAAGCGAGCAGCCTCAATCTCAATAGGAGAACCAATGTGTAAGTTGGCGAGGCATAATACGATACTCAGATCGTCAGTGAACTGCAGTATGGACAATCTAATGAGGGATAAGAAGGAGGCCCCACCCACTCGGT